CTGCTAGTTCCCTCCTCCCCCCACACCCTCACCGAACTGAACGTGACTCCATAACTGGGTGAAAGCGCCACATATGGACACCATCAGACAGAGATGTCTACTGATAAACTCTTAAGACATAAGCGATGTTGGATGTGGGCAAGAAACAGGCCGTGATTTAAATTTGAATCACTAACTTTGCTCGTGCAACTAGTCTCCTTCAAATGCACAGATCTAATGTAGTCTTTGTTGCTCATACATAGTAACATTTATATTAGTGCTAAATTTGTTTTGAGGATATTTTGAGGGGTTTTAGTGCTACACTCACATTCACTGACATATATATATATATATATATATATATATATATCGGGGAATCATCTACCGTATAGCCAAATAAAAACGCCCCAAAAAATCGAGACAAAAATGAACAATCCTGAGTGTGATATTCACTCTCTTTTTCTTCCCCTTTTTAAACCCGGCCCCCACCCCTCCCCCTCACTAATGGCCCAGACATCCCATAATATGCCCAACGAATATCCCCCCCACCCCCCACCCACCTTTAATCTCAGTCTGAACCCCATACTAAATCATGCAGAACTGTTCATAAACTGACTTCTGCTCTCTACTGAGCATCCTTGCATTTGCGGGTTCATATTTGTCACATAGACTAGACGTTATCCTTCACTTTGTTGTTTAATTGTTTTTGTACACCTTTCAGACATTTATGCACAATGTACATATGAAAAAGGGAAGTAATTAGTCCAAATTTGAGACATTCAATATACATTATGATATAATGGCCATACCCTTTTCCACGACCTCATATTCCCCACCCTCATCATATTCCGGAGCATTGTGATTGATTAATTTTACCACGTAAACTTATTGTGCTTCATTAGGTAAACAAAGGATGTTGGTTATAAGGCATTAGCTTCAGGGTCCTCAGTGCAACATATGCAATGCAACAAACACAATATGTAGTTCAGGTGTGTATCTTTCATTCTAATAAAAAAAGAAATGTTGCATGATATGCATGGGGAAATACAGGAGATCATGTGTAATTTTCCAAAAGACTTGAAATCAGGTCAAATGCATGCACGCTCTTAAATAATTAATAATGCTAATAGGCGCACTGGGTTTGCTTTTTTGTGGATCGCATAGAACTACATATCTTTAGCAATATAAAGATATATTTTCTGAATGATGAAGGGCCGCTGTCCTGCAGAGTTTAGCTCCAACCCTGATTAAACACACCTACTGTGAGTTTCTAGTGATCCTGAAGACCTTGATTAGCTTGCTCAGGTGTGTTTTATCAGGGTTGGAGCCAAACTCTGCAGGACAGTGGCCCTCCAGGATCGAGTTTGAGAAACCCTGAAATAGAAGATCAATATATTGTTTTTTTCAGGGAATGTCTTGCTATTGCATTTGTACTTGACTTGCACTATAGACATCATCTGTCACAGAAGCGTGTAGATAGATGTGTTTCAGGTCGAATCATAGAGTGTCTGGAGTAGAAATGTTCGACACATCTATAAGCTGAAAATAGGATCACTTCAATAGCCGTGGCTCTCTTCCAGATGTGCAAGAACTATGTGCTATTTTCAACCTACCAACATAATGCCATCAGTTTTGATTGCAACGTCTAACATAGTCTAGCAAAGAATGGTTAGGATCTATCTAAGCAGAGTGTTTATTCATAATTCAACGGCTGTAAATCTGCCTGGAAAACAAAACATCATAAATCCTGTAAATTAACACAAGGAGAAGACTACGAAACCCTTTTGTAAAATGGTTAAGAATTCGTAAATGAACTGTCTGCTGTCTGTATTTAGTGGCGGTTAACTAGGATAATGATGAACGTGTTGATGGTGACCTCTAGTGATTGACTGTGGAAATCTTGGATAAGAATATAATATAGCTCCTCCTAGTGACCAGGAGTAATATACCCACGACCTGCAGACCTAAAGACTTGCTTACTATATAGTTACACATCTTAATTTGCTTTTTGAATTCGTTAAAATGATCTTATTTTTTGTGTTTACACTACCATTCAAAGGTGTGAGTTAAGTTCAATTAATTTATACTTTTATTCATTCAGGTTGCATTAAATTGATCAAAAGTGGCTTCTATTTCAAATAAATGATGTATTTATTCTATTCATAAAAAATGATCATGGTTTCACAAAAATGTTAAGCATGCAGCCTAGCTGTTTTAAACATTGATAATAATAAGAGATGTTTCTTGCTTTTCTGAAGGAACATTTGACACTGAAGACTGGAGTAATGGCTGCTGAAAATCCAGCTTATCAGATGTGACCTACAAAAGGTATAATGCAGTTGTGAGTATAAAAATACATTTGTTTATCAAATAAATGTGGCGATTGCATTAACTATTGATATAAATGTGATTCCATTAAAATGCTTAATTAATCAAGCAGTTTGTAACATGAGTGTTAACATGTCTTCAGATGCATATTCTCTTCTAAGAAATTATATGTCTCTACACCGTGACCTGTTTGCTATAAAACTGAATTTGACACATGCTGGGAAGCCATGCATGACTCAACAGAATACATATACCATAGGTTTGTTTATTCAGGCTCTAATGTCAACACAATGAAAAAATCTTTCTTTTAAGAGTGGCATTTCAAAAGGCACAGAGAGACACTGTGCTGATATATCCTTGAATCCTGTTGGCAGGTTATATACTGTATATATGTTTATTCAGCACAATAAATATCAAGTTTCAGGGCAGGGTTTTCTCCTTTTTTTCAAGCCTTCAACTCCTTTCCCAAAACAAACACAAATTTTTGTCAATATTTTATCCACTTGAGTTTTGGATTATTGACCTTTGTTGGTTAATTTGTCTATAATTTTTAATAATGTATTCAAATTATTATCTTAAAAGGAATTTCATGAACAGATAGGACACAAAAATAAGCTTCACTCGAGGACATTTCTAATATCTAAACCACTTAACTGAACGTTATAGTGATTCAAGAGGCCTAATGATTTAACTTAACATGAATATTTACTATTGTTTGTGTTTTAATGCATTTTTTATTAAGCAAGCAATACAAATACAAATAAGTACTTAAGAAAACAAACAAACATAACTGTAAACAAATATAAACCAATAGAAATGTGAAAAAAAATCAAGTATCGGACAAACAAAATAGTTGATGACAAGCAAGATTGCATAATACAAGAGGAAGCAAGTGAGCCAACAAATAAACAAATATACAAACAAAATCAAAAGAGGGCAATACAGATGAACCTATCTCCCACACATATAGACCCATACACATACATACCACATGCATATGCCTATACATACATATATGTACATACACACATACCTGCACACACACACACACACACACACACACACACACACACACACACACACACACACTATATATATATATATATATATATATACACACACACACACACACACACACACACATACATACATACACACACGCATACATACAATTTAATGCAAATTTTAATATCCTGGTAGTGTTTCCAAATTATTTTTTTTGTTGTAAATTTAAGAACAAATATGTCAGGTTAGAGAAACTAGCACCAGTTCTTTAGAGATCAGACTCATTTTAAAGACATGACACTTTTAGTTTAAAATCTATTCCTTGTTAGTGAAACCATCTCTGCTACTGTTTTGTGGACAGAGGAGGAACATTATTCTCTAACAACATTAATAAAAACATGAAACATTAATCACACTCAAAACTTTGAAGCACCACAAAATAATGTCATTTTGTGACTGAGGTTTGTAAAGCCTGCCTTATAATTCTGTATGTAGTGTTAAGATCAGTGTGACCCAATTCCCTGAAAAAATTATCTCATTAAAATATACAGTGTAATCACAGATTATCCTTCATTCACCTTTGTGCCGATCTCATATACTTTTCACACTTGCACACCAACACAATATATATATATATAAAATCTATTTTCTTCTGTGATACAATAATATATGTCAGTCAGCAAACCCCTGAATATATGTTTTGACAATTCTAAATGCATATTAAAAAGCAATGCATATTACTTTCGTAATGAGTGATATTTCTGTGTAAAATTCAATATTTTGAAAAAAAAAATGTTAGACTGAACTTGATTTTATCAATTGGGAATTTTGTATAAAACGGTGGGTCCCAAATTGATCTAAATGTGATTTTACTAAAACAAATATGTAAAAGCCAAAGTGGCCTTGGTGACATCAGCAGAAAAGGAAAGTGGGTTCAGGGGGAGAGCAACTTAATGAACGATCATCCAGACAAACATTTCTATTTTATTATTTGGGAAATTGTGCACTGATAAGTCATGCAAAATAAAAATAAAAATCATATTTTATATAATCATATATTTAAAAAAAACATTTAAAGAAGAAGCTCTTTTTAACTCGCAAAAGAAATTAGTCAAAATTCACTCAAATTCATGAATAAAAAAATAAACATGAATTTCTGAAATATTTCTTAATCTTATTTTTTATGTTTTACGAATTCTATCACTAGTGTAAATTCGGGAATAGATGAATGTTTCGCCCTTTTGGTCGATCGCTATTGGTCGATCGTGAGTGACAGGTTGCCCCGCCCTTGCGCCAGTAAACACGTCATCAGAGAAGAGAATGGGAATATAATCATGCAATTGTACTAATAATAACTAATTCAATGTTTCATTATGAAAAATGAATTTTGATTTCATGGTGACTTTAATAGTCATCAGAAGCTTTGCATTCCCTTAACACTGGAAGATTTGAGTCTTGCCCCTTTCCACGGTCTACCCAGTTCCTCCATCTATTTTTACCAGCTGTCACAGAGGAACATTGCAGTACCCAGTGTTTGTTGTTTCCCCTCCTCTTCCCGGGTCCCTCGTTCCCGCTTATTAATCAGTCGCCTTGACCTACTCATCCCCCCTCTTTCTCTCCTCCTCTCCTCTCTAATTCTCAGCATCTTCCTCTGACTCATCTTTTCATCCCCTCCCCCGTCTGTTTCTCCTCTCATCTCACTCTCATTCTGGTTTCCACCCACCCTCGCTCTGTTTTGCCTCTCTCTTCCGCAGTTCAACACTTCTTTCCAGGCTTGCCTCTCGCAAGGCTACGCGCACTGACGGCAGGTAATCATCGCATAAAAGCCCTTTTTTTTTTCTTGTTTGCACTTTCCGCTGCGCCTTTGCAGGATTGCATCTTAAATGCATCTGCTGCGAGGTCATTAAGATGGTTTGGCTTGGCCATAAATAATGCTATTGAATGGGTTAATATACTATAGGCTCTGGCATGACTTTGTGCATGTTGCATTAATTGTCATATCAAGACATCGCTGCTGTTTAGGGCATGCATGTCTCTGCGGACAGTCTCCTGAATGAGGAGTCACTCCTTATGTTGGGATGCTGGATGTGAATTTGGGTGGCAGTGTTTTTTTTTTTGTGTGTGTGTGTGTTTTGTTTTTTTCTGGTGCCCGCTGCTAAGGGGTCGGCCAAATGGATCCCGCTACACAGGTTACGTGTTATTAATGTGCGTCCAAGCCGTTCTCATTGGTGACGGGATGATCGGGCAATTTTACTGTATTGATCTTGAGTAAAATCTTTATGTTCATTTCAGCATAGCAGTGCTGCCTATATTTTCAATTGCCAAATTCCCAGAACACGCTTTTATACTCATTATTAAAACGAAACAATTAATGCAGTTAATAAAGTAGCCTATGAGAATCATACATAATTAGTTCACCGCGCGAGTTCCGAGTTTTTCGTATATTCGTCACGTGACAAACGCAAAAACGTCCCATCACTGGTTCTTATTTCCGTCCGTCTCCAATACGCGCTTCGATGATCCAGAAAGCTCTTCTTTTCGCCAAAGGGATGTTAAATTATTTATCTTTTTCTTGCCCCATCACGCCACTTTCTGCGGTATCCACCCCACCCCTCCGTTGATCGCCCCCTCCCCCCTGTATAAGTGCTGACAGCCCGCTTGGTGCAGTACCACCACACTGACACGGCGTAAGCAGCGTCCGGATTTAGATGCACGATAATGAGCTGGTCGCACCGTGCGGCACCTGCGGACATATAGCCTACATGCCCGTCTTGTCATTGCGAATAAAGAAGCCCCACCTTCTCCCCCCAGTCTAAATTCTGGTGGTCGGTGCTATGAGACGCGCATTCCGTTAGCAAGGTGACACGTGTGCTGGCTGCCCATGTCGGTCGTGGCACATTTAGAATAAAATTAGCATGTTCTGGCTTTTTATTGGCTGCCAGCGTGGCATGTCGCTGTCGATGCTTGAGCTATATCTGTCATTGGTAAGAAGGACGGAACTGAATGTTCCAGAAAATAGTCCTATTTTCAAAGCAATCAGATTGATTGGTACTCCTGATGTAAAATGGATGCTATTCGCTTCATGCAAGTTCCTGGTCTTATTTTGAAAGATTAATCAGTGCATATCATTCTAAATGTTTCATTTCTTTATCTTAAATCAAAATTGAATAGTTGCTCAATAAAAGTTTGTATGATGGATAGCCAAAATGGGTATTGTTTTTGCAAACATTATTCATGATCCAATCCATTCTCGGCCAACTTTTTTCCTACAAAAAAACAGCCAGATGTTGACCACTTGGAGGTGATCTGATCAGGCAGTGATCATGTTCATTTAGACATTTTTTGGAAAATATAACCTGTGTAATTCTGTGGATTAAAAGAATTACGTAAAAATGCAGTATTTCATAACAAAATGCAGTTTTGTACACCCGAAGACAAGAATTTTAGTCTGAACAGAATTCTAAACCCAAAAATTCAATTTTGTGTAGCTACATGAATGTACTTTTCCAAACACCTTTCCAAATGCCTTTTGTTCACAAATTGCTCATTCTGGTAATCGTTGTCTGGATCACAAAATGCATTGTGTTCATTAAAACCTCTAGTTCATCTTTTACATTTATGTATTTTGCACATGAGCAAGATTTATAATATGTAAAAGGAGATATATGGCAGATGGAGGTGGACCAAAACAGTGTTCTGACTGTTGGATATTTCTCATGAAAAGTCCATGAGTTCATGAGTTTCTAAACATCATGACCAATGATGGCAGAAGTTTAGCTCTCATGCTCTCTTGTTTCCTCTCTGTCTTTAAGGATGTCCATTGTGAGCATCATTGCCAGGGAAATCCTGGACTCTCGGGGAAACCCCACAGTGGAGGTGGACCTGAGAACCGATAAAGGTGAATCAATAGAGCCTTTCTTCAAAACGACTGAACTGAATGCCATCCTGGATTTTAAAAGCAAAGGAATATGTGGAATGTGTTATCTTATCTACAATGTAAATTGAGTTCCTGGATGAATGTCCAAAAAAGTGTATTTATTGAAAGCATCTTTCAAAATGCATACATGTAAAATACAATTTATAAAAAATATAATAAAAATGAAATCAAAATATGTTGTCCGCATGCAAGTAACTTGTAAGAGACAAGTATGTAATTAAGTATGTTGACACAGATCCACCAGTGAGAAATGGATGCACTATGTATTAATCTCCGGTATAAGTGAATGACAGATTTGAAGTGTCAGTGTGTTTTCAGGTCTGTTCAGGGCTGCGGTGCCCAGCGGAGCATCGACAGGCATCTATGAGGCTCTGGAACTCAGAGATGGAGACAAGAGCCGTTACAAGGGCAAAGGTGAGCGATCAGAGATAGTCCATTGTAACAGTGGGACTATTATATGACATTAGATTGTTTAAAGTGCCTCTGTTATGCTTTTTCTAATATAATATTTTATGCAGTGTGTAATTGCTGTTTGTGAATGTAAAATGTCTGCAAAGTTTTAAAGATCGACAATGCAACAAATTTGCATAATGCCAGCCTATGGTCTTCATTGGCTGCCCACGAGTGACGCCTACTTTGAACCGCCCTCAAACACTGTTGTAGCTGAGGCCTGGACGGGTTTGGTTTGTGTTTGTCGACATGTCGAGAAGTCGCTGTTTTCAGCGCTGCAAATCTACTAAGTATGCTCAAATTGATACAAGCCATCGTTACTGTTCGTATTACTGGGTATCAAGTGCTGAGGAAGATCCGGAGCTGAAATTCAGATATGGCCGTTTCGTTTTTGAAATGCGCTGTAGGTGGTGGACCAATCACAACAGAGTGGGCCATGTGACCAATCAGAGCAGAGTAGCTCGCGGAAAGGAGGGGTTTTCGATAGACTGATGGTGCGTTGTGGTGTTATGGTACAAAAGCCGACGTGGAAAATGCACATGAACACCCCCTCATGTGGTATTTTCCACTGGGCAGCTCGTAGAATATTTTGATGCACGAGTTGCCGAGATGATATAACCTTTGACCTTTTCAAAATGGCGGAGAGCAACGCGAGAGTCGTGTATGGTAAAAATATGTACCATTCATTATCTAGAAAACATACAGCATATTATTTACCGTTGGAGTTTTGATAAATCATTTAGCAGATGATTTAAGGAATCTAAAATAGTTTTAGCTGAATAACAGGTCTGGATCTCCATCTTTTTACCACATTACGACAACAAAAGCACTTGAACGCAACACACTGGTAAATACCAGTTCACAAGTGGAAAATATCATATTTTCCATAGCACGTGAACGCACCATCAATCTTCAAGCAAACTCTTTGAGAAATTAGGTGATTTGGAATATACACCTGACCAAAAAAAAAAAAAATGTTGTTTAATTTTAAATAGGCAAATGTCTATGATATGACTGGATCATTGTTGCAGTGATTATTATGTTTCTAGCACATATATAGACTTTACAGAATGTTTGACTCTTGCATTGTCTATACAAGATCTTGACCAAAAAGGAATGGACCTCTTGATTGAAATAAATGTAATGTTATATGTGATGGTATCCATTTTTGGTCAAGATCTTGTAGACAATGCAAGAGTCAAGGGTTTAAATAACTGTTGCCACACATATAACATGCATGAAACATAATAGTCCCTGCAATCATGTTCCAGTCATAGACTCTTAAGCATTTGCCTGTTTGAAAAAAGCAACTTTTTTTTTTTTTTTTTTTTTTTTTTTTTTTGGCCAGGCAGTGTATATTAAGAGAAAATTAAAGTGTTTCTTGACCTTATAGATGCATCTAAACCTGTTGTAGTCTTTAAAGCAAAAGTATTACCTTTAAAATAGAAAATAGGGGCACTTCGTTTTGAAAATAGGGGATAATTCGTTTTGTAGCCTCCTGCTATAGTTTTGTTTTTTGATCTGTCTTGACCAGATTTCTTGTGGATGTCTTGTGTTTTAAGGTGTTCTGAAGGCTGTTGGTCACATTAATGACACTCTTGGACCAGCCATCATTGGATCTGTAAGTGAAAAAAAAAATGGTCTCGTTTAATGAACCCTATTTTTTTTATAACAAATAACCAAACTATTCGTTTTCAACCAGCGTGAGAAGGATTATAAACGGCAATCTGTGCATATTTGCTTATTTCTGGAAAAGATTATCTACATTGAGCTGAGACTCATTTCTGCAAGAAAAAAATGACAAAAAAAATAATTTGCAGCTAATATTCAAAATATACTTGGTTTTAATGAGGGCACATCTTGTATTTAAACCTACGGTATTCCTTTAAAATGAACGTGACTACATTTCTTTCCACTATGTTTTACATTATTTTACAGCCGCCTATATTTTTTCATTCATACATGTTTTTCTTCAGGTGTTTGTCGGCACTTTCCCAATAATCAGATTTCTTTCACAGTTAATTTCTAAGCAATTGTTAATTTAATTATTTGTTATTTGTTTATTTGTTTGTTTGTTTGTTTGTTTTACAGATCAGATTCCGATCAGATGGGATCAGAATCAGATCCCACCCCTGCACTTTTTGAATCATTTTTCTTTTTATATTTTATACCCGTTTACTTGTAACAGGAGATTTTAAAACAGCTCCAACTGCTTCAAATCTCCCAAAGACAGAGACACAAAATCTCCTATTATCCAGGTCTTGATTTTCATTCTGATCTACTCATTCCATTCTTTCGTTTTCATGTTTGTTTGTTTTTTACTTCCATGTCTACAATGCGAAAGCTAAAGCAAAGGCAAAAATACTCAAATGCTGCAAGAGTACTTTTAGACTGATTTGACTTTGATGATGATTTTTAATTTCACAGCAGCAGGGCTAATGATAAGGCAACATTTTCATCAAGCATTAATCAAGCACTGTATTTTATTAATCTGGACAGTTTTATCTTCATGATGTGAACTTTAGGAGATCAGTGTGGTGGAACAGGAGAAACTAGACAACATGATGATTGAAATGGATGGCACAGAGAACAAATGTAAGTTATTATCTTATATGATAACAATCATATTTTAAAGAAATAGTTCCACCAAAATGGAAATTCTGGGATCATTGACTCACCAATGTGTTGTTCAGTGCTGTATTTTCTAAACGCTAAAAGTAGATTTATAAAGAACTCATAGTTTCTAAAATACATTACTGTTCAAAAGTTTGGGATTGGTAAGATTTTTAATGTTTTTGGAGAAAAAAAGGTATTTTATTCTTATTAAGGTTGCAATTATTTGATCACAAAAAAGTAAAGGTAGAAATATTGTGAAATATTATTACAATTTACAAGTTTCCGAGGGGTGAATATATTTTAAAATGTAATTTATTCCTGTGATGTAAAGCTGAATTTTCAGCATCATTACTCCAGTCTTCAGTGTCACATGATCCTTCAGAAATCATTCTAATATGCTGATTTGCTGCTCAAGAAAACATGTATTATTGTCCATGTTAAAAACAGATGTGCTGCTTAATATTTTTTTTATTTGAAATAGCATTATTTCGCAACCATATAAATGCCTTTACTGTCATTTTTGATCCCTTAAATTTCAATCATTTAATAAATAAATAAATAATTCTTACTGACCTTAAATTCTTAAACTAATATTCAAAAAAGAAGAACTTGTAATAATTTCGCCAAAAAAGTTCAAAAATTCAATGTACAATATATGGATTTTGTTCTACACAATAAAACTACCATATAAATCACATACAAAAAATGATTTAATGATAAAAATATATATATATAATTGCTATCTGTTCATCATGTCTACAGCCCAGTTTGGTGCGAACGCAATCCTGGGAGTGTCTCTGGCCATCTGCAAGGCCGGTGCGGCAGAGAAAGGCGTCCCTCTGTATCGTCATATTGCTGATCTGGCAGGAAACACAGAGCTGGTGCTGCCAGTTCCTGTAAGAAATCTCATTACTCAATTGCACGACTTAGTACGCAACATAATAATTCACATGTGTAGGTATGTTTTTTCTTGATTATCTCGGGAAATAGATTGACTTAGCATATTTTCTCGGTCCACTTGTCAGGCGTTTAATGTAATCAACGGAGGCTCCCATGCCGGAAACAAGCTCGCCATGCAGGAATTCATGGTACTTCCTGTGGGGGCGGAGTCATTCCGTGACGCGCTGCGTGTCGGAGCCGAGCTCTACCAGACGTTGAAGGGTGTCATCAAGGAGAAATACGGCCAAGACGCCACCAACGTCGGTGACGAGGGAGGTTTTGCCCCGAACATCCTGGAGAACAGTGAAGGTGTGTGTGAGTCTGTCCATCACCTTGTCTGAGCTTGTGATCCAATTTAATCATAATGAATTTATCTCCTGTTCTGCTCTGTTGGCTTCTCTATCACGTCTCCACAGCTCTTGAGTTGATAAAGACTGCCATAGACAAGGCCGGGTTCACAGATAAAGTCGTGATCGGGATGGACGTAGCCGCCTCCGAGTTCTACCGCGACGGGAAGTACGACCTTGACTTCAAGTCCCCTCCAAACCCAGACAGACACATCACCGGCGATGAGCTGTTAGAGATTTACCAGACGTTTGTCAACGATTATCCAGGTAAATTGTGAAGAATAAAAGATGTAAAGGAGATTTCAAAGTTCAGATGTTAATAAAGTCACCTTAAGGTCCATTTAAATGATACTGTATACATCCTAGGTGTGTCTTTCTTCTTTCAGACGAACACAATCAGAGTTATATTGAAAAACATTCTCTTTCAAGCTTTATAATGGTAACGGACGTTTTGCTCTATCCTCTGTGCTTTCGCATTCGTCAATATGTCATGCATCGGGTCAGAGGTCACTCTTTCGCCGGATAGTGACTCAAGTAAAGCTGTTACCAGAAGCCAGTGATTATAGTTTATAAAGTTATAAATATAGTTCGTTTTCTTACAAAAACACATAGATTCGCTTCAGAAGGCCTTTATTAACACTTGGAGCCATATGAATTACTTTTATGATGCATGGATGCTCTTTTTTGGGCTTCAAAATCGAGGGTACTCAAATTGTGTTTGGCTGAATATACACCTTGGAGTTAAAGGAGAACTCTGGTCAATTTTAACGTTGAGCTCATTTTTTTTGTACATTTGGAGTGCTGTCTGACAGTACAGACAAAAACGACAAAAATCGGTGTTGCCTACACCGTGTTATCGTCTTTTTAAAATTCGCACCCTGTTGATTTCAATGGGGCATGTTCTAAACCCGCTTTTAGCCTCTTAACATCCTTGATTTGTCATTACGAGTGCACACTCATGTGAGTGGTGTTATTAAAAGTGACCACGGTCAATCTGACTGCAGTAGATGTGAAAGATATTAATAAAAATGATCATTCAGCCAGCTCACATACCTCTATTTGCTTCCTGTTTTCGGCCAAAGCCCACAGTAGTCGATTGTCGAGTTCACGTGCGCCATCATTAGTGAATATCATCTCAAACCTACCACTGTATGGTGTTCTGAGAATATCAGCTCAAATAGATAGTTCATCCCAATCAGATGTTGGACACACGGAGGAGGTTTGACATATTCACTAATGATTGCGCGCGTGAGATCGACAATCGACTACTGTGGGCTTCGAGGAAGCAAATAGAGGTATGTGAGCTGGCTGAATTAACATCATTTTTATTAATATCTTTCACATCTACTGCAGTCAGATTGACCGTGGTCACTCTTAATAACACCACTCTGTGGTGTGCACTCGTAATGACAAATCAAGGATGTTAAGAGGCTAAAATCAGGTTTAGAACATGCCCCATTGAAGTCAACAGGGTGCAGATTTTAAAAAGACGATAACACGAACACCAATTTTTGTCGTTTTGTCTGTACTGACAGCACTCCACATGTACAAAAAAATGAGCTCAATGTTAAAATTGACCAGAGTTCTCCTTTAAGTATGGGATAATTTTCATTTTTGGGTGAACTAACCCTTTAAAACCCAGAAAATTCCATCACGTTTTTGTTCCCATCATCATTGACAGTGGTGTCCATTGAAGACCCGTTTGATCAGGATGACTGGGCCGCTTGGACAAACATGACTGGTTCAGTGGGGATCCAGATTGTGGGCGACGACCTGACCGTGACAAACCCAAAGAGGATAGAGAAGGCAGCGGAAGACCGCGCATGCAACTGTCTGCTCTTGAAGGTTAACCAGATCGGCACCGTCACAGAGGCCATCCAGGCGTGAGTAACTCTAAACTATGTCTAATAAACCAGCATTTTCTAGCTCCTTACCTTCCCATTTTGAACTGTGTATCCCTCAGATGTAAGCTCGCTCAGGCCAACGGATGGGGCGTGATGGTCAGCCATCGCTCAGGAGAGACAGAAGACACTTTTATCGCTGATCTAGTGGTGGGACTCTGCACTGGACAGGTACGCACACTTACACAAACATAACCAGTAAGTACAGATATTATATGGTTTATATATTTATGATGTGCTTTACAAAAAAGTTTGATTAACTTGACAAACTTTCACTCTTTATCTCTCTTATCTTTCAGATAAAGACAGGAGCTCCGTGTAGATCCGAGCGTCTCGCCAAATACAACCAACTTATGAGGCAAGAGAGCGTTCAACACACTATTTTTAGCAATGCAATAAAAACATTCATTCGAATCCCCAAAACAATGTCAAAATATTTTTCGCATGCGTTTTGCCTCTTTCTAACATTGCTAACATTGACAGAATTTTTCGGCTTTCCATGTTTTCGCTCTTATTCTGTTGCTATTACGCATCTTCTGAAAGAATACGCAATCTCCTGGTTAAAACAGGAGAAGAAGAAGCAGAAACAAGGGGTAGCATAATGTAAGAAGATGCATATGTAAAATAACACTATCATCAACATTAAACAGCATACCTAACATAAGCCTAATGTTACAGAATGAAGTGTCGACCCAGGACGAGTTATAGGACTGTGAACTTTGAGGGTGTTGATGAACTCGATCTACTCCATCTGTGTTTTGATCAATCCGATCCAGACAGGTTTTTTGAAACGTATACCCACATTCAAGTATTGATAAAAAAAAGATTTTTTTTTTTTGTGTGAAAATGATCAAAAAAGCTGGCTGTTACCGTCGAATAAAGAGTTAAACAGGCCATTGCTAAAATCTAACATACTATTTTAGCAAAGCATCTCCAAAGAGGTATTTATTTTTGGGTTGGGGTTTATTTTGGCTATTGAAACAACTTCTAATCATATTTTTAGTGTTGATGTTTTTATTGTTCATACACACTTATGTTTATGTATCTATCACTAAGTACTGAACGTCTTGCTTAACTCATCTTTCAATGATTGTTGCTAGTTTCCGTCACAGAATAAAAAAAATAATAAAAAAGTAATTGTGACTTTTTGTCTCACAATTCGGATATTTTCTCGCAATTGTGAGAAAGTCATATTTGTGAGATTAAAAATGTGCAATGACATTTTAGATTTTTTATTCTGTGTTGGAAACAGGCTTATCCCAGAGACTTCCATTGAATGAAAGACTTGAGCCATATTTTGAGGTTTTTTAAATATTTTTTTGCAATTTTTAGCCCATTGCTAGGTTGTTGGCCACTGGCCAGTAATCAACCACTTAGCAACCACTCAAACCACCATAGCAACGCCCTGGCAACAATTCTAACATTGTAGTGCCACTAGATCCCACAGAAACACCATTCATATTTTCTTCAAAAAAATGTAAAAAAAAATCATTTGTTTCGACTCAAAGCATGTTCTCATGAAAATGACTCAACTCGCATAATAACTGACTGTTGTACTTAAAAAGCTCCAGTCTCAAAAATAACAGTGGCTGCAAAAAGAACCAATATAATTACTTTGATTAACATTGCTGATTACAGGCTTCTAGCTCTTTCTCCATCACCTCCTGTTCCCATATAATTAATCCATGTCCATCTGTCTCTTTTTTTCTGCCTCGCAGGATTGAAGAAGAATTGGGTGATCAGGCTCGTTTCGCCGGGCACAATTTCAGAAACCCCAGCGCTCTGTGAGGCTGACGTCACCGCACCGAATTCACATGAAAAAACAACAACTGACAAACAGAGTATGTACTGCACTGAACGACTGACTACCCCTGACATTCCCTAAAATCATTCAAATGGCATCAAAACAGCACTATTTGCACTGAGATACTAAAAACGACTTACTCAGACACTCAAAATATGTATTTAAAACTGAACTGGACTGCGGACAGGCTTCGATAGACCAAATATTATGCACAGTGGATCCTGGACAGACCAACATTATGCACAAGTGATACTTGACGGGCAAAACATGTGCACAGAGTGGACATGCATGCGTAAGATACAGAAAATGAACCTTGAATCTATCAAGGCAAAGACTTTGTTGTCTAAAAAGGATTTAACTCAGATGGAATAAAAGTAGAGATTTATTTGAATCAGGTGTAATCTTTAAATTTAGGCATCGATTTAGATGTGAAATATATGTAAATAACAAAATCTAGATTGACTTGCCACTCTAAAGAAATCAATGTAAGAAATTTTATGGTTCATTGCATGAGGACATGGTAGAAACGTTACGGTAGAATAAAAAAATAGTTACATGAATATTAATGCAGCAGTGAGTTTTTTAATGGGAAGATTGACTCCAATGAGTGAAGTATTCAGATATATATATATATGGGACCAGCGTTTAGTTTGCCCAGGGCATTAGAGGCTTTTTATTATACAATACTCTCTTTCTCAGATGCAGTGTCCATCTCTGACCCAAAAGCATGCTGAAGAAAAAGAGCCTTTTAAAACAAACTGTTATTCAATCAAAAGAAAAGACCAAATCAGCAAATTAAAATAAAATATGGTGCTTGAACATTGACTTAATTCATTTTAGTATATTCAAAATTCTAATGTGTGTAGACTCTATTTCTTTTCATAAAGATGCTTCGCTATTTAAACCAACATTGAAAGTTCATACGTTTCTGTATATCATTGTCATTGAGTTGGGAGGTCTCAAATATGTCCTTGTGTGATTATGTTATCACCTTCACTCTATAGATCAACACACACATACACACACACACGAGATAATTAAATGTAAAAGTATTGAACAGTTCACGTCACTTCTAATAACAATAATTATATTCAAAAGTCCCCAAATCTTCATACGTCTGCCTGATTTTCTCATGCAATGACTCTTAAAATGTACTTTCGCATTTTCTTTCACCCTGGATCTTAAAGGGGAAGTGAATTTTCTTTAAAAGGATAGTTTACCCTAAAATGAAAATTCTGTCATCATTTACTCACCCTTAAGCTTCTTTCTCCCGCTGAACACAAAAGAACATTTTAAAGATTGCTAATAACAATTGACGGTAGCCATTGACTCCCATATTACCAACACTCTTCAAAATACCTTCTTCTGTGTTCAGCGGAAGAAAGAAACTTGCACTGATTTGGAAAAAACTTGAGAGAGTAAATGATGACAGAATTTTAATTTTTGGGTGAACTATCCCTTTAAATGGGTCAAACCCTTCCTCGTCTCCCATCTTAATGTGGATATTAAGTAAGCCATTCGTAGGTAGCTTTTCTTAAAGATTGTAAATACTGTTGATCTGTGGCTCAACCAATGGCGTGTGTTTGGGGCAGAGTTACCTTCCTCCAAATCATAAGAGACGGGGCAGAGAGCAGTAGAAATGACACGCTTCTCCTTCAAAATGAATAATCTTAACCCAGCAGTGAACAAAAGAGACATAACAATCAAAATGACGGAGAACTCGACCGACAGACACGCTTACACCGATAGAGACACACATTCACTCACATTTGTGTAGCAAAGTCTCACCCTCAACACACACACACACACACGACTCCTTATTCTCTGCCACCTTGGACTTGCAGTCTGTGTTTCTTCCTTTCTCGTTGTTTCATCTGTATCCTCCACCCCTTTCCCTTCTTGTGGTTATGACTTGGCTTGTTCCCCCTTACCTGAAATCTTTTTTCTCCTTGATGACTTGTCTTTTCGTTATTTTGTGGTGAAAGAAGGAAAAGAAAGCAAGATGGAGAGAGAATAAAAAAAAAGAACTGACAAGTCTGTCAAAGAATAATGTGATGGAATATTAAAGCTGTCGTTACTTTCGTCACCCTCGAGTCTCTAAGTGTGTTTTCTTCTCTTCTTTAAAAGCAGAGGAGGACGTTTAAATGGCTTTTCGACATTTAGATGCTCAATTATGAAACATGCTTTTATAGGTTTTAAAAATTGCTGCTCTTGTCACCTACATTACAAAACGTAAATTACATATAGTTATATAAAAAATACATGCATACTGTTCAAAAGTTTAAGGTCGGTACGTTTTTTCTTTAAAAGAAAATAATACGTTCAGTTAAACTGATCAAAAGTGTCAGTAAAGACATTTATAATGTTACAAAAGATTTCGGTTTCAAATAAATGCTGTTTTTATATTCAGTCAAAGAATCCTGAACAACGCTTCACGGTTCGCACAAAAATATGCAACACACACACATAAAAATACTAAAATAATTTACACAGTGCAGTCTTTAATTTCAGTCTGCAGAGCATTTATGTCTGTGATGAAAGCAGAAAAACAATCTTTAGACCAAGTGAAGACACCATGAGAAGACGGTTTAAGTACATTTGTTTTATTTTCTACAGAGGTAGTCATTTCTACAGAGGATAAAGTGCTCTTAAAGTCACTACAAACTTGTAAGTTCATCAGTGTGGAGTGTACAGTGTGTTAGACTTCAAGTGATGTGCTCTGCAAGTGCATAGACAATACAGTGGTTTACTCGAGCGCAGCAGCAAATAATGAACTAACGTGCCCGAGCTCTCTTCCACTTCTATATTAACACATTTTTAGTAGGAAGGGAGATACTATGAGTATTCCAGACCAATAACTGCAGGGGAGTTAAAGCAATACAACCACAAATCAACATTCAGACCTGCTGGAATGACAAGAAGCTGCTATTTACTTATAGTGACCCTCAAAACAGTTATGAGCGGGCATTTATGATGTCAACAAACTCAGGCTTAAGGGAAGCTCCTCCAACCAGGAAGCCATCAATGTCAGCCTGGGCCGCAAGCTCTTTACAGTTTCCCCCAGTAACAGAGCCTGTCAAATGAGGGAAGAGCATGAACTTACAAATCAGAATTTTATTTTTTTATTAAATATATTTTAAATACAATACAATGAATGATCATTATCTTTTGGGTTATCCCAAAAATTAATATTCTGTCATTGATTACCCCCCCTCGAGTCGTTCCAAACCCGTAAGACCCGTAATGAAGATATTTTTTGATGAAATCTGAGAGCTTTCTGTCCTTCCATTGACTGCAATGTAATCACCACTTTCAAGGTAGGACAGACATCGTTAAAATAGTCCTTGTGACTCCAGTGGTTTATCCTACACTGTAAAAATTAATATGCTTTATCTAATCCAAAAATTTTTGGCAAGCAATATTACTAATTGAATTTAACAAATTAGAATTGAGTAATAATTTATCTAATTCATTCATTTAACCATTTAAAATGAGTAAAACTTACAACAACAACCGAAAAACATAAATTGAAGTCACCATTATGGTGATCGTTTTTTGTTTTAAAATGACGGTTTTCTCCTTCAGTGATTCTGCTTGTTAACATCAGGTGTCTTCAATCTTGGCAATATAAAATAAATAGTTCTTAAGTAATCTTTGACAGTTAGTGAGATATTTTTGTAAAAATTTTTGGCGTAAACTTTACTCAGTTTAAATGGTTAACTTTTAGTTTGTTTAATATTTTGTTTAATTTAATTAATAATATTGCTTGTAATCTGTTGCCACAATTCTATTGATTAGATAAAGCATATTAATTTTTACAGTGTAAAGCGACGGGAATACATTTTGTGCACAAAAAAAAAAGAACCGGGAAGCACAGCACTGTTTACAGTGTGAACAAGAAAGCAGACAGACTTGGAAGAGAAGAGATTGTTGAATAAAGTTATTTTTCAGTATTCTCAAAACTTCATAACATTAAGGTTAAACCACTGGAGTCACAAGGAATATTTTAACGATGTCTTTCCTACCTTGAAAGTGGTGATTACGCTGCAATCAATGGAGGGACAGAAAGCTTTCAGATTTCATCAAAAATATCTTCAATTTATTCCGAGGATGGATGAAGGTCTTATACGGAACGACACGAGGGCGAGTATTGACAGAATTTTCATTCTCAGATGAACGATCCCATTAAAGGCATACTCCACTTTTTTTGGAAATAGGCTCATTTTATAACTCCCCCAGAGTTAAACAGCTGAGTTTTACTGTTTTCGAATGTATTCAGCCGATTTTTTTGATATTTAGAAGAATATCAGTAACCAGACAGTTTCTGGTCTCATTGACTTCCAAATATTTTTTTTTTCTACTACGGAAGTCAATGAGACCAGAAACTGTCTGGTTACTGTTATTCTTCTAAATATCAAAAAAAAAAATCGTCTGAATGGGTTTGAAAACGGTAAAACTCAACTGTTTAACTCTGGGGGAGTGGTAAAATGAGCCTATTTCCAAAAAAGCGGAGTATCCCTTTAAATTGCATCATGCATGGACAAGCAAGGACTGCAAAACTACCTTTGTGTTACACAGAAGAAAGAAGATCATAGTGATGTGGCATGAGCGGAGTAAATGACAGAACATTCAAAGTTGGCTGAAGTATTTCTTTAAGGCCACTCAGAACTGAACAGACTCACCTCCGTAGATGATGCGCACAGATCCGGCTACTGCGTCCGACACGTTCTCTCTCAGCCATTCTCTCAGCTTCTCATGCACCTCCTGAGCCTGTAGCACACAACGGAGAGCACATACAAGACTTCTTATACACCGATTCAAATACATGATCATGAACTGAATGACTTAAAAGTGCCCCATTATGCTTGTTTGCATATTATCTTTAATATGCAACTAACACCATCATTACTGTTCATATCACTGAACTGAAATTCAGATATGATAACGGGCATTTTAGTTTACAATACGCACTTTAAGCAGTGGACCAATCACAACAGACTGAGCCATCTGCCTGATTTATATAGATTTATTTAGTTTGACTTAAAATGGAGGGACAGAAACCTCAGGTTTCATTGAAAATAAGTTAATTTGTTCCAACAACATGAGGGTAAATATTCATTTTTGGGTGAACTATCCTTTTAAGCATGTTACTCCTGCTTTAGTGCATATGCATTGCATAAATAGAAAATAAAAGTTATAAAACATGGAGTTGAAACATCTTATGATGACATTTTGATCTATGGGTTACGTCAATACATATTTACCTGATCAGGAGTGGCAGTTTTCCCAGTTCCAATCGCCCACACTGGTTCATATGCTAAAACCACTCGAGCCCAGTCCTTCACATTGTCTATAAAATATATAAACTCATCGTGACATTTGGTGTTTTATAGGCTTTATGTATACAATCATGAACAAAATAAATATTCCCAATAAGACTTGCTGACAATCCATGCTGTCAATGTTGAAATTACATCATTTTTTCATAAATGACCTGCAATGACTTTGGTCTGTTCAAACACCACTTCTTCGGTGGTTCCAGCTTCTCTCTCTTCTAGTTTCTCCCCAATGCAGGCGATCACACCGAAATCATTCTCTAAGCAATGGGCCACTTTCTGGCCAATCAGCTGTAAAAGACACCCCAGCCAATCAGAGTGAGACAGGGCTGAATGCAGAATAGCATGAATATGCATCAATATGACGTCTGAATTTCATCACACAGAAAAGCAAAGACATAAAAGGGTTTTTAAAAATAAAATTCCTTCTCAAATCTCAACCTCATCACTCTCGCCAAACACATGGCGCCTCTCAGAATGGCCCAGAATCACCCAGTCGATGCCGCAGTCTTTAATCATCGCTGGACTACCGCCGAGAAGAAAAGGAGGGAGCGAGAAATATGCTTTTAAAGTTGACACTGATAAATGGTTGTTCATTAAAGATACCAATGAGCATGTATACCTGATCTCCCCGGTGAAGGCTCCTTTGGGTACCTTATAGCAGTTCTGGGCGGCCACACCGATCCTCTGGTCCAGTTTAGACCTCACATAATCCAGATAGATGGACGGTGCTCCACACACCACCTCTAAACCATGAAGACAAAGCCACTGTTATGATGATATATGATCATGAAAGCCAGCATGTCTACTTTTAAAGGGATATATCATCCAAAAACTAAACACTGTTCAATATTTCTTTTATTATTATTTTTGATTACATCCTCTGACTTAATTAGATAATTTCCCAGAGAGAATGAGATCATTTGGCTAACAATGCTTTTTTATGCATGTGATATGGGATCAGAATGGGATACAGCTAACAGTTGTTTATATAATCAACTGTATTTTATTAAATTTGCATGCTTATGGGACAAATATGGGATAAGACAGATATAGTCAGTAACGTCAAATGAGGCTTTCTACAGCAGGCCTATGCAAAATTGTCATGCACATGACTGTGATGACATGCAATGATACACGAATAATCAACTCAATATCAATATTAACAAGTTTATAAGTTATTTTTAATTAAAAACAGTCTGTGCACACGAGCCTCCATGATCCATTTAAAGTGTCACGTGACGTCATGTATAGCGTCTCTGATGCGTCTAAACATCTCTATCGAAATACATCAGACTAATTTGGCTGAAATGAAAACTAAAATAATTTCTGCTTAATAACATCAAATAACGCCATGGACCTGTTTCATCGTTGAGACTGGCCGTGTTCAAGGTCATTATGAGCTCGCCCAGAGTCTCTTTATCGCCGTTCATTTTCCAGTTTCCCCCGACGAAGAATTTTCTTGAGGACATTATTGCGGGACAAACCAAACGGACCAAACACACCTAACTTACTGCGGTATTATCGCTCCCGTTAGCGAATTTACGAATCCTACTATGGAAAAGGTGTGGTCGTTAATATTCACGAGGTGTTCCTTTGTCATTGGACGGTCGCACGAAACGTCACAAAACCTAATTAATATACATGAGGTCATGACGCCTATCTCCCTCGCCAAGAAAATCACTCATTACCGTTGAACGTAAGCATAGATATTTAATAATAATAGTAATAATTTTTATTTCACAAGGTTAACCTTAGGAATACTAATCAGTTAAATGACATAAAATATTTTTAACTATGGGCTGCATAGAAGAGCTCAAAGAGATATATATTTGTAGCCTATTTACAACGGGGCACACTTTTTATCTATTTTGCTAAGTCGGTACTTTTTCCTCAATTCAAATTACCTTATATTTTATCCAGGGTGGTTTTGGGATGTTCCGAAGAGCATATTGTGCTTCAATTGATTTTAAGAAAGTAATCTAAAAGATTTCATATGGTCAATGCCATTTGCATGGCCTTCATTTATTTGTTTATTTTGTTTAATGTTTTAATATCCCTTTACATCATACAGCTTTAGATATGAATATCATTCTGTGTAATTATTTTTAAAATGAATTATTTTTAATTATATTTTGTACAATCTAAGGTGTTTTAATGCCCTTCCGAATGCTGTTGCCAGCATGTGTGCTTTTTCTTACAAAGAGTATTGTTTCGAGAAGCATGAGGGTAAATTTTCATTTTTGGGTGAACTATCCCTTTTGATATCCCTCATATTATATCAAGTCTTCTTTCTCATTTCACAGCCAAAGCTTTGTCATCTCAGCCGTGCACCATTGACTTCAACTGTAGTCAATTAGTCCTCTGTGCTTCAGTGCTTGCTAATGTTTCTCTGGGCAAAGCTCTATTGAAAGTGGATTAGAGTAAGCCTCCCGTCCTCCTTCTTGAAGTGAAAGAAAAAACAACTGTCTGATCTACTTTCTCAAGGTGAGATTGCAGTAGGTGATAAAATATACTTAAAGGAATTAGGTTTACTTAGGTTGTGACCTCATTATAGAAGTGAAAGCCTATAATACAAAGTTCTGTCGTGAAACTCTAGATGGCACAGGCTCATAAGTCCTTAACCCAATCTCCTTGCAATTACATCATTCTCTATAGGGCACAGCTGATTGGTTCCCTCTGTATTGGTAGAATAACGCTGAAAACGCAGTTTACAGCATGCTTTCAGAAACCCCTCCACCTCCCCAGCTCCACCTGTATAAATTCTGACCTGAATAACTAAATATTATTTTTTTTAATGAATTTTCTCCTATTAAACATTTTTATAAAACATATTTTTGTGGCCTAATTAGATTTCCTTTCCAGTAATATTTCTTTCTGTCACCTATTCTTTAACAATTGCCCAGTGCAAAGTTTTCACAATAAAGTAGTTTGGAAGTATTTTACACAGTAATGATGCCAAGATCAACATGTTTTTTTTTTTTTAATTAATTACTTCAAATGCCCTAAAATCATAAAACACATATTTTATTGGACACAACAGCTTGACAGACACAAATAGCACACACCAAAATATCATTTAATGCAGAATACTATGTTTATTAGAAAGGAATTTGAGTAATCACTGCGACATTTAAGAGGAACTGTCTTGTATGTAAAAGCCCTACAAAAAGATGAAAGAAGTAAATACAGACATTTTCTCTTTTATCATAATGTGCCATTTGGACTTTGGGGAAGTTTGTTAGAAATTAAAACGCAACCCTATGCCAGGTTAAAGTTGCCAACAGCATCAAAGAGCCATCAGATTGGGAAAAGTCACTGTACATTTTCTTCTGCATTCTATCAATTCTAATACATAAAAATAGTCATGGACACTTTCACCTAATGATGAGGATTTTTAACAGACAAAAACTATATATCTTTTATTCTTGAATGATTATTCATTTTTAAGATGTCAAACATTATAATTTCAAGTCAAAGTATTGCTGTCATGATGAGATTGTCATTTTAACAATAACGCAAACTGCACTCCTGTGTTTGTTGTAACTTACATTTTTACAATTAAATATTCCACGTAAATATTCTAATAAAATCCAGTCTTCCAGAAACCCCACACATACAGATGTGACATTCGTGTGTTTGTTTGTGTGTGTGAGAGAGATTCTTTGTTGCTTAGAATTTCTCATTTCTCATCCTCTCTCTCAACCTTTCTGTCGTATCCTCTTCTCGTCTTGTTTCAGGGTCCAGTTCAGTTCCAAATCTTCAAGAAGCTGTCCCATGAGCCAGTGCAAACGCACATGCCATCTGGTGGTACTCCGGTGCAGCTCACCCTGTTGTCATGGCCAGACAACACGCCTACAAGAGAGAGAGTGAAAGAAAGAAAGTGAGAAAATGAATTTGATAGGACTTTGTTCTTCATGCATGTTTATTTATTCAAAGATGCAATGAAACGGAAGTAGCAAGCTGCAACAAATTAAAAAAAAAAAAGTCTAACCGATTATCCGAAGAGAAAAAATTATGGGGGCTTTCAGCATCAGGGTTTAAGCGCACTAAGTCTGGTAAATACGTCAGCAGAGAGACGTCTTTAATTTCACTGGAAGTGAATATGTATGGATGAATTGTTAACAATAAAATCTATAAGATAAAAATAGATGGGGTGAATTTTCATTTCATGCCGACTTTATAGAAGACTTCCTCGACTTAAAGCCCCGATATAGCCAACTTCAATCGAAATTTTACTCCAGGTGGTAAACACCTTTAAACTATTATTGGTCTGTGCCCTGATGGCACACGTACATCACGGAGACGTCTATTTGATGTGATGTTTACATCTGGAAGACGTATTTTTAAGAGTGTTTGCTCATCTGCAATACGTCTATTGGACGTTTCCTGTCAGATGTCAAATAGACGTTTAGAAGATGTCTTTAAGATGTAATGATTTAGAATGTATGTTAAACTGACATCTTAAAGATGTCTATCAGATGTTAGTAAACAGCAGATGCTTTCCAGATGAAGTGATCTTTAACAGCTCTTGCAGACTTACCCCAGATAGCACAAGTCTATTTGATTTGATTTTTATATCTGTAAGACGTATTTTTAAGAGTGTTTGCTCATCTGCAATACGTCTATAGGACGTTTCCTGTCAGATGTCAAACAGACGTTTAGAAGATGTCAGTTTAACATGCATTCTAAATCATTACATCTTAAAGACATCTTCTAAACGTCTATTTGACATCTGACAGGAGACGTCCTATAGACGTATTGCAGATGAGCAAACACTCTTAAAATACGTCTTCCAGATGTAAAAATCACATCAAATAGACTCGTGCTATCTGGGACGTGTGCTATCTGGGTGGCGATTACACACTGATAGCACACGTACATCACAGAGACGACTATTTGATGTGTGTTTACATCTGGAAGACGTATTTTTAAGAGTGTTTGCTCATCTTCAATACATCTATAGGAAGTTTCCTGTCAGATGTCATATAGACATTAGAAGATATCTTTAAGATGTTTAAGATTTAGAATGTATGTAAAACTGCTTTTTCTAAGACGTTTACCAGATGTTTTTACACAGCAGATGTTTTCCAGATTATCAGATCTTTAGAAGACTTCTTGCAGACGTAGCTGTGCTATCTGTTACTGCACAGAAAGCACACGTGCGTCTGCAAGATGTCTGTTAAAGATCACTTCATCTGGAAAGCATCTGCCGTTTACTAACATCTGATAGACATCTTTAAGATGTCAGTTTAACATACATTCTAAATCATTACATCTTAAATACATCTTTTAAACGTCTATTTGACATCTAACAGGAAACATTTTATAGACGTATTGAAGATGAGCAAACACTCTAAAAAATACGTCTTCCAGATGTAAACACACATCAAATAGTCGTCTCTGTGATGTACGTGTGCTATCAGGGTGTGATCGCCACCCAGATAGCACACGTACGTCTGCAAGATGTCTGTTCCCAGATAGCACAAGTTTATTTGATGTGATGTTTACATCTGGAAGATGTATTTTTAAGAGTGTTTGCTCATCTGCAATACGTCTATAGGACATTTCCTGTCAGATGTCAAATAGACGTTTAGAAGATGTCTTTAAGATGTAATGATTTAGAATGCATGTTAAACTGACATCTTATAAACGTCTATTTGACATCTGACAGGAAACGTCCTATAGATGTATTGCAGATGAGCAAACAAAAAATTAAAAAAATACGTCTTCCAGATGTAAACATCACATCAAATAGACTTGTGCTTTCCTGTCAGATGTCAAATAGACGTTTAGAAGATGTTTTTAAGATGTAATGATTTAGAATGCATGTTAAACGGACATCTTCTAAATGTCTATATGACATCTGACAGGAAACTTCCTAGAGACGTATTGAAGATGAGCAAACACTCTAAAAAAATACATCTTGCAGATGTAAATGCAGACATCAAATAGACGTCTTTGAGATGGACTTGTGCTATCAGGGTAATATTAGGCGATTTCCACCTAATTTGATTTGGCTCATGGCGTCTCATTTCATTTCTATTCAGTCTGTTGAGGTCAGATGTGAGTAAAAACATAAAACACACTGGAGAGCTGCTTAATAGTATAGTACCTATAGTAGGCTCTGTGGAATACTTGATTCTGATTGGTCAATTGCACCATCCAACGGTACGTTATTTCCAGATAACAACCGCTCAAAACAGATAACGCAGGCTCATCCGTGTCACTGAAGTCAGCAGTGCTAAAAAGTTTTGCATTTGGTCAGCTAATAGAATATTAAAACTCAGTCAAATCAATATTTTGTGTACAGTTATTTAATAATGCCATCCAGTATCGTGGACTCGCTCTCTCTTGTTTCATACAAAAGCAGCTGCTGCCATTTTGTACACTGTTGGATTATAAGATTCAAACAGGTACCATTTAAAAAATCTAGCAGGGATGTGATATTGCATATCAACACCAGTTGTTCTTTGAAAATAAACCCCCTTCACCTCGCGTCAAGAGTCCTCATCACCCTGTCGGGGGTTATTTTGAGAGAACAACTGGCTGGATGTATATTATCCCTTACTGAACACTAATGCAATATCACAGC